GAAGTTCTCCTAACCCTACCCAGCTGCAGGCCTTGCTCGCGCTGGTGCCCGCCCAGGTCCTTATGGGGCCAGAGCTCCGCTGCCAGGCGCCACCCCAGTCTTGTGTTGTGGCAGATGTTTTCAGATATACCATGGCAACCGCAGAACAGGATGTGCCTCTGCCGCTGGGCTGCCGCAGGGCCACGCCCACGCTCCCGGGCTGCCCTGTTCCCCTCCCCAGGGCTCATTGGGAAGAACCATCCAGGACGGACCTGGTTCTGGTTCTAGAGAGCTGTGGATCCCATACTCTGGATGGGGTCCGTAGGCGAGGATGTGGGCACAACCCTCCAGTGACACTGCGCTTGCGCCCTTGGCTCCTAAAGAGGTACCAAGAAGGCAGGAAGCAGAGGATCTGGTCAGTAAATGGGCCACCCATTGTCCTCAGCCGCTTGTCACTGAAAAATAACTTGTGTCCCGACTTGGACCAATTGCTTTATATTGTACACAAGACCACATTTGGGGGGAGGGGGGAGCTTGCCGTATGCTGATTACCTAATGATTTTATAGGTGTATGTGTGTGTATTTTGGGGTAGGGGGATGAGATGGTTTCTCTGTGTGTAGCCCTGGCTATCCTGGCACTTGCTCTGTAGAACCAGGCTGGCCGAAGACTCAGAGATCCGCCTGCCTCCGCCTCCTGGGCTGGGGTTAAAGGTGTGGGCCACCACCACCACAGCTTTACCACAATGAGGTCATCCTGTTTTCCCTTTTTTGTTGTGTTTCTGAGACAGGGTCTCATGTAGCCCAGCCTGGCCCCCAACTCCCTTCAACTCTGCAGATTTGACGTTCTGTGGAATGACTATACCCACCCCCCCCCCATTATCCGTCCTGTCAGAGCCTACGACAGCAGCTGGACAGCAGGGAGTGTGTGTCCACGCACAACACTGGCCCCGTCCGTAGCACTGTCTGTTATAAGACAGGGTTTTAGTATGTAGACCAAGCTTGGTTTAAATTTGATCTTCCTGCCTCAGTTTCCCCAGTGCCAGGACTGTGTGCTTATGTGACCTCTGGCCCTACTTTGATGTCCAGCTCCAAGAACCATAGGAAGCTTGGCTCTGATATAATGCTTCAGGGAGAAACCCCACCACCTCTTCTCTCTCTCTCTCTCTCTCTCTCTCTCTCTCTCTCTCTCCTTGTCTGTTTTATTGAGACAGGGTCTCCCTATGTAGCCTTAGCTGGCCTGGAACTCACAATATAGCTCAGATCATATACATCTACCCACCTCTGCTTCCCAAGTACTAGGATTGAAGGCTCCCCCCCAACGTCCTACCAGAACATGCCTTTAAAAAAATTCTGCCAGTAGAGTCTCATATAGCCCAGGCGAGCCTGAAACCTGAGCCAAGACTGACATTAGATTCCATATCTTCCTGTCTCCTCCTAAGTGCTGGGGTCGCCACACTCCTGGGCCCTCAGTTCTCGCCTGCCCCTGAAGTTCCTAGTTGTCAGGCCTTGCCACTGCGAATCTGCCTGTTGGCTTCAGAGCTCTCTGGTCTTTGAACTGTGCCACAGGCTTTTCTCATCTCCAGGAAGGTGGGTAGAGGAGTGAGGGGCTGCTCAGCATCCAGGACAAGGTGAGACAAGCTTCTCTTTGGAAACATGACCTCATGTAGCTCAGGCTGGCCTTGAACTCACTATGTAGCCAAGGGTGACTTTGAATATCTGCTCTTTCTGCCTCCACCTCTCCATTGCTAGGATTGCGAGCACATGACACCACACACACTTTCTTTCTTTCTTCTTCTTCTTCTTTTTTTTTTTTTTTTTTTTAATTTTTTTTATTTTTCTGGTGCTAAGGGCTGAATTTCAGCCTTGCACAGGATAGCAAAGTTCTCAACCCCTGGGCCTGATCCCAGCCCTGAGAATCTGTCTTTCAGCTTTTGGTATGCCCCCAACTCTGGCCTGGGAGCTAATAAACAAAATGCTAATGAACATTTTATTTGCTGGAACCATTTACCAAAAAAGGAATTTCAGGTTGAAACCAGGCTCTTTACGCATCTACTTTAGGATTTGTAAGCAGTTCCCTCTTAAAACACAGTGACTGCTGCCTGGGAGACACCTGGTGAAGGCCAGCAGCATGGAGCATGAGTGGGGCCAGTTCCTGCAGGGCTGAAGGTTAAGTCTTGGTCCAACTTCCCACCTTAAAGACACATCAGGGTCTTTAAGGACGGCCCCCATGGCTAAGAGCACTGCCGCTTTTCCAGCAGCCCTGGCTCTGTCTAGGCCTAGCACCGGGAAGGTGGCTCACAACCATCTGTAACTCCAGTTCCAGGAGATCTGGTGCCCTCTTCTGGCTTCCCAGGGCACCGAGCACACAGACACACACACTCAGATGCATGGACAAGACACTTATAAAAATGTAGAAGGGAATAAAGGAGCTTCCTCATACGAGAGCCTTGCTATGATTCCACGCCTTTTGGTGTGTCTTTCAAGCTCTTTCCATGAAGGACATCCTCAGGCTTAAACAAACACCGGGTTCCTCCCTGGCAAAACCATGGGCACTGCAGGTGTGGTCTGGGATTGTACTCTGAAGATAAAACCAAGGGACGGGCAGCCAGCTGAGGGACATTGTTGCAGCGCCCGGATCACACAGGTATTATGGTTAAGTCCTGAGAACACCCTCATGCTGTTGGGTGTGTGTGTGTGTGTGGGGGGGTGTTGTCTCAAAGTATGTATAGAATGTGGTTGTATTACACGAGGGACATGTAAGCCTCCATCACATTCTTATTTTGGTGTTTTCAAAACATGGCTATCAGAATTCCCAGGGCATCATGGGAAACATGCACCACGCTGGGACCTGCCCCTAGAGCAATGGTTCTCAGCCTTCCTAACGCTGTGACCCTGTAGTAAGTTCCTCCTGGTGTGGTGAGCCCCAACCATAACATTATTTATTGCTTTATAACTGTAGTTTTGCTACTGCTTTGAATCGTAATGTAAATATGCAATCCCCGAGAAGGGCCTGTATGACCATCAAAGGGGTCTCGCCCACAGCTTAATAACTGCTGCCCTACACTGATCTGTGGCTGGAGAACAGACAGGTGTGAGCCCCACGTTGGTATCACCTGACTTCCGGAGAAGCTCTTGGACCACAGAATCCCCCTGTTTAAAACAGGTCTGAGAGAAAGCGGCAGAGATGGCTCTGCAGCCCAGAGCACTTGTTATTCTTGCAGAGAACTGGGATTAGGTTCCCAGCACGCACGTGGTGGCTCACTAATCTCAGTTCCACGAGATGGAGATGCATTACTGTGTTCTGATCTCCTCAGACATGCATGTGGTGCAGACATACACCCACACACGTAAAAGGAAAAATTTAGATCTTAAAAAAAAAAAAAACCCTCCCATATTTTGCAGGTGTGGTGGGCACACCTTTAATCCCAGCGCTCAGGGAGGCAGAGGCAGGCAGACTGCTGTGAGTTTGAGGCCAGCCTGGTCAATAAGGCCAAGGACAGCCAAGACTACATAGAGAAACGCTGTCTCGAAGAATCAAACCAAAACCAAACCAAACCAAACCAAACCAAACCAAACCAAACCACCACCACCGCCACCCCCACAATTTATAGAGGGCAGTGTTACAGCTTCACAGTTTGATTCCACCACTAGATTTGTAGCACTGTCCTCTCCCTCCTCTCTCTCCACCTTCCGTCCTTCTCAGTCTCGGGGTAGAATTAAGGGCCTGTGCACGCTGAGTGCGCCAACACTGAGTTCTATGCCTGGTCTTAACTTGAGTCTCACTTTGCAGCCCAGGCTATCCTGAATCTTAAGACACCCCTCCTTCCTCAGCCTCCCAAGTGCTGGGGTTAAGATGTGTCTCCACGCCTAGCTCCAGCCCTAGCTTTTTTTTTTTTTTTTTTTTTTTTTTGGCTTTTTTTGTTGTTTGGTTTCTTACTGAAACAATAACTCACGCAGCCCAGGCTGGTTTCAAAGTTGCTAAGCAGGCAAGGATAACATTCAGCTTCTGGTCCTGGGGTTATAGGTATCACCATGCCTGGTTAACCTTTTGCTTAGGTTTCACATTCAATTATTCCCACTTAATTTTGGCTCACGTGCAAGTTTATCCAGGGCTGTTAATCTGGCTGCTTCACTGTGTTGAGGTAACATAGTCTCTGGTGAGTCCAGTAGTGACAGCAAATTGAGCTGGTAAAGAACCTCAGCATCTACGGGTACTGGACTTAGTGTCCTGCCCACGAACACAGCAAATCCTGTGTGATACCTAGCCATTGGTTTGGGAGGTGGGGTGACATTGCAGCCGACAAGGGTGGAGTCTCTTTGGCTCTTCTGGATTGCACAGCTAGGACCAGGCAGTTTAAAGAAGTCAGCCCAATGTCCTCAGTCACCAGCTGTTGTGTTTGGGACCGTAAATGTACCCCAAAGGCCATACACTGAAGGGTGTCACAGCTAGTGCTAATTTCAGGTACGGTCCAGCGAGAGAACCTTGGATCACTGGGGTTGTGTCTTTCAGGTGGATATTGAGGCCACAGTGGTTCCTCCCTGCAGCTCCTCCACTTCCAGGGAACTGTTTTCCTTTGTGATGTTTTGCTGTGGGCCCCCAGAGCCAGAGATCCACATGAACCAGCAGAGACCTCTGCCATCATGACCTAAGGAATCGTTTTTTTTTTTTTTTCCCTTGGAGGTGGGGGGTGTTTTGATGTATCACTCTGTAGCCTTGGCTGGCCTGGAAGTCACTGTATAAAGCTGACCAGGGTGACCCTGGAATCAAACAGCTGCCTGCCCCGGCCTCCCAAATGCTGGGATTAAAGGAGTTCGCAGGTGACAGAGCTGGGAAGGAGAGCTCTGGGGTGCAGCCAGTCTGCTTCGCTGGGTCTAACTCCTCCAAGTTTTGAGAAGAACCTCAAACTCAGTAGGTACAACAAATCTACTTATTGCCCACAATACTGACAGAAGAGCTCACTGGATGTCTTGGCGAGGGCTAGAGGTGGATTCCTCCAGTCCACACAGGCACTCACACAGCATTTATAAAGGAAATGTTTATTTTCATCACAAGAAGCACACAGACTATATATACAATACACACCAACAGAAGTAAAAAAAAAAAAAGTGCACTATGCCTCTTCTACTGCAAATTCACAGTACAAAAGATACTGCCTTTTTAAATATATAATATAAAAAACAAGAAGTAAAACGATTAAAAAAAACCAAAACATCAAAGTTGTAACTTGACAGGAGGGGACCCAGCGGCAGCCTTTCGGAGGTGAAGAACGCGGTCTGGTGCGGCTTCCCTGGAGTGAACTGTACCCACAACCTGCCTCAAGGAGCTCAGGACATGGGTAGAACAGGAGGGAGTGTGAGGGGAAACCAGGTGGTGCCAAAACTCCCATCAACTGGAGGGCACCGGTGAGGGGGCTGGGGCAGGGGCAGGGGCTGGGCTGCGGTTCAGGGAGTGGCGGGCCTGCACCCAGCCTCGGCTGCCTCGGGCTGTGGTGTTCGCTGCCGCCAGCCTGGCCTGCAGGGACTCACCAGGGCCGTCTCTAGCCGGCTCTGTGCAGTAGTCACAAAACACAATGTCAGCTGCACAGCAGAATAAACACAAGTGGGTGGGGGTGGGGACGAACTCTGGTCCCAGCGTTTATGCACCAGGACCAGACGAAGTACCCGGCCGTGGAGGAGGAGAGCTGATCGGTTGCGCATAAATACACAGTATTTGTAAACGATTATTAAGGCACTCAACTGTAAAACAACGGTTACAGTGTAGCGGAGGAAGCAGCTATCTTCTCGTGCAGCAAGGCCAATGGCCAGGGCAGCAGAGGCTGCACAGGAAGGACTTCTGAGACAGGGGCTCAAGGAGGGGCTGTGGGGTCTACTGCAAAAGGGAACAGGGCAAGTCACCCTTCCCCAGATGGTCCCTGGTGGCATCACTTTGGGTGGATGCTGGATGATGTCACTGCATAGCTAAAGGACAGAGTGTGACAATGAGAGAAACACGCACACCAGGTTTGATGGAGCAGGACTCACTTATATGTATATATACATATAAAGCATACACAAGGAATATGCACATAGACTTATGTACATACGTGCGTGCAGAGTGACACTCGAACCCCAACAGTAACAATAGGGGCTTTGCGTAGGGGAGCATCAGTGATCTTCATCTGGTTTTTCTGTTCAGCAGCTCGGGATGGGGACCAGGTCAGGGGACTCCATGCTATGCTGCCCAGACGGAAGCAAGCTTCCCTGCCACGGGTACAGTGGTTACCCTAATGGACTGTACTGTATGAGCCCTGCTGTATGTCAGCCAACCCATGGGGGTTGGTGAATTGAATTCTGGCATCAGTAACTGCCAGCCGCTTGGAAGTAACTTCCTTAGGGTGTCATGGGTGATGTTTCCTGTGATCTCCTTTGTTCTTGTTGAGGAGAAATGGTTCCTGAGGAACAGGAGATTCGCAAGCCTTCCAGGGTGGGCCCTGAGCCATGGTCACAGAAGCACAGGGTGGCTGTCAGTATCTAATCTTTCCAAACTTGGCTCCACCCTGCAGCAGCCTCCTGGCTCTTCTGGGGTGCGGAGGCTGCTGGGCCCACTCTTCAGCTAGAGCAATGCTGAAGATTACTCTGGTGCCTGTGAGTAATCCACACGGCTGAGCCACAGGGACGAGGTGTGTGTGGCTGGCAGGGATCTTCACACTGAGTACAAGGGGGCGGGGATGTAAGAAAGACACCTTACTCTTGGTTCACACAGTCAGGTACCCGACTTCCTACCCACCCACCCCCAGGATCCATCTCCCCCACACTTCAGGAAGCCTTCTGTGTTGGTGGATGGCGAGGCCACCACACCATCGGGGGTTTGGGAGGCTACGTAAGTGCAGGTGAGCAGAAGTACCCTGGGCATCTGCGCAGAAAGCTCTTCATTCCATGAAGACATTCAGGGAAAATGGAGGTCACCAGAATCGGCGGCTCATGCAGCAGGAACCCCCGACCCTCTGCCTGCCTCAGGTGCCACATCGGTGTGGATCTGCTTCTTGCCAAGATTATACACAAAGCATTAGCCAAGCATGAAACAGTTCACAAAACCAAACAAAAATTTTGTGTTGTGTGTGTGTGGTTAGGGGTGTCAGGGTCTATGTATGTAGCCTTGGACTCAGGAATCCACCTGCCTCCGCATCACAAGTGCTGGGATTAAAGGTGTGTGCCACCAAGCCCGCTAGAACACTTTCCAGGAGACGATACGGGAGCTGTCATTGCTAAGGGGCGCCTCAGCCTAGCAGGATAATTTCACAGATAAATTCACCCTTTAAATTGAAACACCATTTTGCTGCATTTATAGACAGAGCCAACCCTCCAAGAGTAACGAAAAGCACCCAGCTGGGGCTCCTTTCGGATGATGGGGGCAGCGCCCTGCCATTGCATCCTGCTGGCTGGGATGACAGTGCTTCTAAGAGGCATCAGTTTACCGGAAGCCAAAGCCCCGCCTGCTTTCATTCTCCTCCTGGCCTTACTCTTCAAACAGAACAGGACAGGTTATAGTTTTCAAAACAAAAGTTCCAAAACCCTATCACTCTTACAGATGGGATTAAAAACGAAGTAGAAGCCTATCATTACCAAATCTAAGGGACTGTTTTGACACAAAAATTCATCTACCACGTGATACTAAACTTGGCTTTTTTTTTTTTTTTTTTTTTTCTTTTGTTGGCTGAGGGACGAGCGGAGGAAACACACGGGGTTTCAGGAATAAGTGGATAATCACTTTTTAAGGTGAGTGCCACTGACACTAGTGGGAAAACAGATCCTTATAATGTATGTGTATGAAAAACAAATCATGCCAGGGAGAAAAATTTTAAGACAGAGGTTCCCAAAAACTCTGCACTAGGGAAAAGAAGAAAAGCCTTGTTCCTAAAGATGTTCTGGGGTTTCAGAGGACAGCTGTTTTGGAGCGCCATTCTAACCAGTGTGGGAGGACCCCAGTCCACGTACTACCAGAATGTGGCCGATCCTTGAAGGTTTTGTGGTCTCGCTGAGCTGTCTGGCTGAACCAGCCAACTGCAGGACGGAGCTGCGGTCCTCCACAAGATCTCCATCTGTGCAAGAGGCAAAGGGGCGGCTGGCATGTCTGGAGTACAGGAGGGAAAGCTTTGGTCTGTGATACCCAAGGGGTGACGGAGGCCTCAAACATGCCCCACGTCTTCCCGTGGTGCCGCAAGCAGCCCTGGGATGCCACATAGATCAGCCGGCAAGCTTTCTACCCAGGGCCCACGGCAAACGCTCAGGGCAGGTAATGCCATCTCTGACAAGGTTACTTGCTGCATCTGAGGTAGAGTCTCACTTTGCGGCCCAGGTTGGCCCTTAACTCATGATGGACCCGCCTCAGCCTCCTGAACTCGGGGTCACAAACCTGTGCCACTGCCCCAGACGCCAACTATCCCCTGTGACAAACCTTTAACAATGTAACAACCAGGCCTGCGAATGACTGGATTACACCTGTAATCTCAGCTGTTTGGGAGGCTGAGGCAGGAGGACTGCTGTGAGTTTGAGGCCAGCTTGGGCTACACAAGATTCTACCTCATAAAAAATAAAAATTAAAAAAAAAAAAAAAGATTCTACCTCAAAAAAATAAAAATAAAAACAAAGAGGAGAAGGTGGAGGAGGAGGAGCAGCCATTAAGATGGTGGTGGTGCACACCTTTAATCCCAGCACTGGGGAGACAGAGGCAGGCGGATCTCTTGAGTTTGAGGCCAGCCTGGAATACAGAGAAACGCTGTCTCAAAAAACCAGCTGCAAACCACTGTCTGCCATGCTGCTCCTCTCTCATAATACACACATCCCCTTCTTCCTGATGGGCACCAGACAAGGCCTCAGAGCCCAGGCTTCTGGCTTCACTGAGTTAAACTGCATGAACACTTGTGCTGTGGCCAGCCTCCTCTGCCCCGTCACTACTGCATGAGAGGGCTGGAGAAAAGGAAGCAGGAGTCTACTCACAGGAAGTAGTATTCTCCCCATGGGAAGGGACACTGGTAAACATCTGTGAAGCTTTTCAACAGACTCACTCTTCTCAGAGTGACTCCTGGGCAGGGACCCACAAGAAAGTATCCCATTGCTGACCGGCCCTTCCTCCCAGCAAACGTGGAGATGCAGCTAATGAACCTGGGGTCACAGTGTCTCGGCAGGTGTTCCACATCCTAAGACCCACAACCTCACAGACATGAGTTCGTCCCAACCCCAAACGCAACGATGCCTTGTTAGCAGCAGATGAGGCCCAGCGATGCCCGGAGTCCTTCCCTGTGACTGGGTGATGGAAGCTTGATGCTAGCAGCCGAGGAACCCACACATCCGACCGTGGGCGCCATTCCACAGACCGCTGCCACTCGGGGCCTTCCTCTGATCATTTCAGCTAGCCATTCTTGGGAAGGTCAGGCTCAAAGTCTTGACACTTCTGGGGGGTCCCCTCTGAAAAAAACCTCACACAAACCAAAACCTCCCACAATTCTCTTAGAAAAACCTTTTCAGACACAGCATTGGTCATTACTTGGTCATTTATGCACAGTGAGAACAGAGGTAGGACTTGTGTTGTCGTCTGAGAATTCTCTCTCGAGGATAGGAATGAGCTGGGAACATGGGCTGCAGCGATGACATCACCACCACAAATCTTTTACATGTTGCAGATTAAACGTTTTGTACGTACTGCACACGCTTATTACTTTTTCCCTCTCCGCCAGGCTGGCCTCAAACTCACTAAGCAGCTGAGGGTGACTTGGACTTTCTCATCCTTCTGCCTCCACCTCCAGTGTCCGGATTATGGTGTGTACAGCCCTGTCTGGTTTTATGGGATGCTGGGGACCGAACCCAGGGCCACGAATTCATTCTAACAACCGAGACAGAGCCCCAGGCCGTGCGTACGTATCTGAACGTGACTGTTCCCAAAGACAGGGCTCGGGGATCAGAGCTGTGTGTCTCCTGGCTGACAGTTTCCAGGTCGCCCAGGCTCCACCCCTGGGCCTCCTGCTTCATGCTAAGTTACTTCCATTTCTCCCCCTACTCTTTGGCAAGAGCGGGGAGAGCCTGGTGAATGAAGCTGTCGACACACAGCAAGACGTGAGGGTGGACAGGACAGCATGAAAACCTCAGTGTCACAGAGCTGAAAGCCGGTCAGCTCCTGTTCATCCTCAATGGGCTTTTCAAGTGTTCTGGGGTGGGTTTCCCTGATGGTTTGGAGGTTGCAGGGGGGTCCCTCAGTGCAGCCTGAGGTTCAGGCAAGAAGGAAGAGTGACCGCACTTGGCATCCTGCGAGTCGGCGATGGTGGACGTGTCGGCCTCGCTGGACAGGTCCTCTGTGGAGAAGTTGAGACTCCCCAGCTTGGCGAGGGAGTGGGAACGTTTCAGTGGAGATGACACAGTCAGGCCCGCCAGGCGTAGCCGCGTCTCAATCTCCTGTGCCCGCTGCTTCACCAGCCCGGGCTTCCCTCGGATGCTGTGGATGCTGTCGCTGCTGGAGCTCCGGGTCAGGTTGGAGCTCATGGAGGAGGAGGTGGGCGTGTAGCACACTGTCTTCAGGAAGTCTTTCGAGAAGTTACTGGTGTGGTCGAGGCGGAGGAGGGTAGCAGTGGGGCTCTTCAGCAAGGCTCCGTCTGGAGGTTTCTCTTCAGTCCCTGCTTGGCTGCTCAGGGCTGCGTGTCCAGGCTCCGGGCCCTCCTCGGGGATGCTGGCCTCCAGCCTGCTGGTGGCGCTGTCCCTGCAGGTAGATGGTGAGTCTGGAGGCAGGCTCTTCAGCCGCTCCAGCTCTTTGGTGTGCTTTCGGACCAGGCCTGCCTTCTGCAGCTGGATGATGGACTCCTGGTGCTGCATCAGGTAGCTGTTGGCTGTTGGTTTCTCCGCCTCGTGACTGAACAGAAGTCGCAGGTCTTTGGCTGGCTTCAGGTCTTTCTTGGCTGGCACTTCTTCCTTCGCCACCTCCATGTTGCTGGCACTCTTATCACAGTGAGAATTCTTCAACGGGAGAGATTTTGGAAGGACTTTTGAAGTCTCTCTGGAAGGCTCTACAAGGCTTGCTGGTGGTTCAGGGGCAGCCCTGGCTCCAGAGCCACTGATGTCTGGCTTCTTTGAGCCTGCTGGTAGGAGGAATGGAGGGGTGTTGGCTGGACCAGAGGGCGGCCTCTCTGGAGCTCGGGGCCTGCTGCTTGCGTGGGCCACCACAGAAGACGTGACGTGGGGTAGGAAGGCTGGCTGGGTGCAGACGGCAGGAGCCCTAGGGTCCTCGTGCTGTTCCGTGAAGGCCTCAGGAGCCCCACCAGCTGTGGGGTACATGCAGTCGGCGCAGGATGTATAGGAAGGCTTCACTTTACTGAGGATTCCAAACACGGCATCGCGCTGCAAGAGACAGAGTACCGTGAGCCAGCATGATCCCAAGTCAAGGACCAAAAGCACAAGAAGAGCAGACGTTGCCGGAACTGTGGTGGTGGCGGGGTAATGCTTCCATTTCATTTGTTCAGGATTAGAGACCTCTTGGGACACACTGGATCACGAAGGACAAAGGTTAGCATGGTCTAAGAGATGTCAATCTTGACTTTCCACAAGCCAAGATGGCACCCTGGGCAAACGTTGAGCCACAGGCCTGGGAGAGACGCCTAGGACCTTCCCTTCTCAGTCCCACCTCTACCTCCCACCAGGCTGACTCTTCCCTGGTGTGTCTGGTCTGGAAAGCAGGGTGAGGGCACTGGCGAACAGAAGGGCCTGACAGGGCTGGTTGAGAACACTTCCTGCCCTTCCAGAGGATCTGAGTTCAGCTCCCAGCATTCATGCCATACAGCTCACAATTGCCTGTAAACTCCAGCTCCAGGGTATCCAACGCCTCTGGCTTCCACAAGCATTGGCACTTGTGTGTAAATCCGCACTCAAACACATAACTGAAAATAAAGTTTCAAGACAAAACAACTAGAACAAAAAAAAAACAAAAACCAACAACAAACCACAGAACTGAACTGACACAGCAGCAAAGAAGGGGGTTCTCTCCGGCAGAGGGAGTTTGCACTAGGGTTAACCGTTGTCTGAACACAGCACTGCCCTTCCTGGCAGCGTGAAGGAAGCCCGGGGACCAGAAGCCTGCCACGATGGCCATGATGGAGGGAGGGGCAGAAATGGCTTTTGGACTACCTCCAACACAAACTCAAACACACTTAACTACAGGTTACAGTGTCTCCCAAGGGACTTACTTGCCTTTGGTCACTGGGGCCTCAGTAAATGGGCCCCCATACCAGCTCAAAGGCCAACAGTGATGAAAGGAGACGGGAAGGATGAGGGTGGCAGAGGGAGCCAGTCCTCTCCCAGCTGCCGGACTGCGGGACTACACAGCTAGTGGGAACAGCAGCCTTCCAGACAATGGTTAGGGGGTCTCTCACAATTCTGCTGCGAGTAGAGCCTGCGTGGCCTCTTTCCATGGTTCCAGAAGGTTAATGCCATTCTGTGTGGCCAACTCTAGGCCTGGGCTCACAGGCTGTGTTCTCACTACCAGCCTAGCCTGTCACCTACTCCTTGCTTACAGTCCTGTGCGTCCCTTCGTCCCCAGGACACCGCACACAAAACCATCAACATGCCAGTGTTGATGGCACAGCCACCTCCCACCCGCATCTTACCATGAACCCACTACAACATGCAGGGGCAGCTACTGTCCCCCCCCAATCCCCTGCCCAGACCGGAGCTCTCTGTACAGCACTGAATCTCAGCCTGTCCCCATCGAGCTGCCCTCTACCCTCTGTTGTTTGTAGGCACACAAATGGCTGCTTGTCTCCAGGTTTGGTTCTGGTGGGTCCTGGTGCCAAGTCTATTGTGCCCCTACCCAGGCTGCTCTCCTGGTCACCATCCAGTGACTCACAGGCCACTGGGGCTGACCACAGCACCACTGTCCCAGACAAAAGCATTTCATGTCATCGGTCCTCTCTGAGGGAAGTGGTGGGCGGTGGGGGAAGGTGTGTGGTTCCTCTCTGGCCTGGAACACATTTCATTACTTAGAGGCCAGAAGATGACCCGCCTGGGAAAGTTCGGGGGTTTTGTGTTTTTGCTTAGCATTGTAGCACAACGTTAATTACAGAGCAACTTTCCACCCCAGTGTCCCTACGTGTCCCCGCTGAGAGTCTTCACTGTGGCGCGAGAGGGGTATCCGGGGGACATGGAGTTCCCAGCCTTCAGTGAGTACTGGAGAGGCAGAACCTAAGAGCGGGCAGCCCCCTCGGCCCTCTGCAAGGACAGCCCCGCTTCTAGGTCACAGCCAGGTGCCAGGAGACAAGAAGACAGGGCCTGGGGACCAGCGACTTCCTGAGCAGTCGGAGGTCAGAGCTAATGAGGCTTAGTGCACTCCATCCCTCGTGGAGGGCAGCTGCAAGGGTCCCAGGGAGTGAAGTAATAATGCCAGCTGGAGAACGGCATGCCAGGGGAGGCTAACCCACACTGTCAATCTGCCACATGATGGAGCATTTAGGAAGGAAATGTCACCTCTGGGGTCTGTTTCAGAGCCACCCAAGGCGGAAGAGTTGGGGGCTGTGGACGGTGCCGTGAGATGCACCACCATATATTGACAAAGTGTGGAGTGATTAAATGAATTGGAAACCCCACCTTAGATGACGGGTATTGCAAGGCTTGGGTGTCCCCAGTACATGGCATGTCCACTACCGGGGCTCTGTGGGCCGAGGCAGGCTGCTCCGCACTCTGGTCCCCCGCCTACCTCAAGATCATCGGGGCAGCTCCTCTTGCTGTTGTTGTTATTAAGGTTTTCCTGGTCAAGCAAACTTCTGTCGAGCTGGGTAGAGGCCCGCCTCCACCTCCCTGCCCTGGGGCCACCATCCTTCTCCATCTCCTCCATTGGAGGCAAGGAGCCACCTCGGGCTTTGGGGCTCCCAAACTCTAGTTTCCTCTTCACGTCCTTCTCACACAGCCTGGCGCCTTCCAGGGGTTGCTGAAGCAGCCTGTGCACACCCTCCGGCTGAGCCACGTCCTCCAGCAGAGCGTCCCTCTCGAGATCCTCTAAGTGCACCAGGCCACCCATGTCATCGTGGTGGGGGAGGAGGAGGGGGTCCGAGAGTCTTCGGAAACAGCACGGGAGAGAGGGTCCTCCTGGGTCCTGGCTTCCTGGGAGCCCGGGCTGGGTGCTCTCATCCAAGCACGGCAGCCTGGTGTCCAGGGCGCCATCCAAGGTCTCTGGTGAGAACTCGCAGGGCTCTGCCGCAACATCATCTGCCGGCTGCTGGCGCCACAGTTTGTTATGCCGCTGCTTGCTGTGGGGGAGAGAGTGCAGGAGGTGAGCTGAGGGGGCAACACCGGCGGGTCCTAGCAGGAAGGGGGCAGCCTGCATCAGACAGGCTCAGGAAGCAGAGTTCCAGCCTCCACTGAGCACCCTCAGCCACCATAGCCTACGTGAGAAGCCTTTTCTAATTTACTTATTATGTATACAGTGTTCCGCCTGCTCGCCAGAAGAGGGCACCAGATCTCACTATAGATGGTTGTGAGCCACTTCGTGGTTGCTGGGGATTGAACCCAGGACCTCTGGAAGAGCAGACAACGCTCTTAACCTCTGAGCCATCTCTCCAGCCTCGTGGCAGGTGCAGGGAATTTTGACCGGAGGTCCTTGTCTTCATGTTTGCCCTCATCTTACCGTGTGAAGTTGGTCAAGCCTCACTCAGTCTGCGTGACCCATGAGAGTAACAGTCTTTTCCTACCTACAGTGTGAGAAAACTCAGGGATCAAAGCAGTAGCATCTTAAGTTCTTTGCACAATCGTGTAATAAGACAAACCCAACCACACTGTCCCAGATTCCAGGAAACTCCTACTTGCTTCAGAAAGAGACTACAGGTCTGTTTTAAATGATGTTCTTTCTTCCTTTTTAAGAATCAAGATCTATGTAACTCAGGCTAGCCCCAAACTTATTATGTAGCTAAGGCTAACCTTGAGCTCCTGATTCTTCTACCACTTCCTTCCAATTTCTGGGATTACACGCCTGACTTGCATGGATTCTTCTGATGCTTGTTATTGTTTTTAGGTGAAGACAGAATCCATGGCCTTGTGCCTGAGATCAAGCATTCTACCACTGGGCTACATACACAGCCTCATAGCATTAAAAACAAACAAACAAAAAGCCCAAACCAATATTTTTTACTCATTCTTGAGAATTTCCTACCATGTATTTGACCATATTTACCCCACCGTCACTGCCCCAGTCTGTGTCTTCAAAATAAGCCAGAGTCACTTATGCTGCCATTATGCACAGGTGTAGGCCATCCACCAGGCATGGGTAACCTGCCGGGAGCCTCCCAGAGCCATCAGCTGTCAATGGCTGCTAAGTTAGGGGCAGGGCCTGGGACTGCATCTATGACATGCTTGAAGGCAGAAGCCAAGAATTAAGGGAGACAGAGAACTTCCTGATGGCAGAGGAGCCACAGGATCAATCACCTCCATCCCCCCAAAGGCTGCAGAGTAAAACTGGCTCTGTGGGGTGCGAGGGGCGGGATGGAGAAGTAGCTTCCTGTGCTGCTGTGGGCTCGAGGGAGACCCTCGGCTAGGCTGCCGTGTGGGAAGGCGCTGGGTGACAGAAGAGGCTAAGGGAGCTGACTGTCCCTCCTCCTCCAGCTGCCTGGGGACCTGTGGGACACTCGGAAACAGTGAAAACTGCCCAGAGATGGTTGCAGTGGCTCTCCCGGCCTGGTCAATCCTGCCGGAGTACTCCTGCTTCCCTGAACTTGCCCAAGAGGGCTCAAGGACTTCACCCCTGGATCCCTTCCAGCACTACTCAAAAACAATCCTGGCGGCTGCTTCTGCAGCCTGGACATGGGTCGCGGAGAAAGAGAGCCCTCAGACACTGGCATCCGCCCAGCAGCCCGGGACCTCTGGGGAACCCTCACCGCCCTGCTGGAGGGGGGGGGGGTGTCAACAAGTGCTTTCTCTTGCGGCCATCAACACATGTGGGCGTAAATCTCTCTCTTGGCACACCAGAAGTCACTGTGTGACACAGGACAAGCTAACCTATCAGCGTTGGCTCCCGCTGCTCACGCGTAAAATGAGAAGCTGAGCTTGGAGGTGGGAGGCAGACTTAGCAGCCACAGTTGCTAACTCACTGCAGGGCGTGCAAAGGCGCTCTAAGTGGCTGCTTGTGCAAGCTCACAGAGCCATGTCAATTTTCAAATTGCAGTAATCAGTGCTGTCTTGACCACATTCATGTACACAGCCTGGCAGGACACACAAAAAGCACCGCACGACACCATCTCTGTTCGCGGTGCAGGAAACACTACCACCAGACTCGCACCGTCCCCTCCAGCATGTGGACGCCAACACCACATTCTCCACCTCCGGGGACCCCATACAAGCACGGGGCCACACAGCTTTTCCCGATAGCCCCGAAGTTTGCTCAGAGTGTACCACGTGTCAGAATTTCCTTCCCTTCCTCTCTATGGGGCAGAGACGAGATGGGATCCCGGTATAGGGTAGAGAGCGGCCTTGAACTTCTGGGTCAGGCAATCTTCTGGCTTTACTTCCCCAAGCAGGCCTCGCCTACAGTCAGGGGCCCCTTCATCTGCCTCCGACTGCCGCCCGCCAATGGACTCTTGGGTGGCCTCTGCGTTTGCGCCACTATAAATAACACCTCCATCGACACAAACGACCCGAGGGTCCCTCACCTCCAGTCTTCTGCATGTACATGGTAAAATGGAAGTTTTGGATGGTGTAGTAGTTCTTCTGCTCTTAAGGTTTTGGGGGCCCACCAGTAGATGACACCCGGTCATCAAATCCTTAACTCAGAAAAGGGAACTGGTTTTCAGGAAGACCAGCGGCTTCTTCAGCCCTTGAGTCTGGCCCAAAGCAGGTGCTTAGGAAACGGATATGCTGCGGCCCACACCACATACTGGGACGTGCTTCAGACGGGCATTTAGGCACCTTCCCTCGCCCATCAAGACAAGCTTTCTACCCATGCCAACAAAATCAAAACGGATCCCTCCTGGAAGCCACTAATCAGAGCCCAAACAATAGTTGTTTTTTACAAGCTAAGCTCCCCTGAGAGGCTCCACTTGTGGAAGCTCCTGCCAGGCCTGGCCAGCTTGGTCTGCCAGCCTGTCTCTGGGTACGCACTCACCTTGCATCCAGGATACCTTCGTACTCAGACAGCTGCCTCATAAAGCCTGCGTTGGGCCGTGTGATGCTTCGCTTCTGCTTCACATAGTTATACGCTTTCTCCAGGGGCCAGCCAAATTCCTTCATGGCATAGGCTATGACCGTGGACGCAGATCGGCTGACGCCCATCTTGCAATGGACCAGGCACTTGGAGTGATTCCTTCTGCAGGGTTTTGGGGTGGGGATGAAGAGCAAGGATGAGAGCCCTTGTCACCTCACAGCTCCAATCCTCCGTCCTCATGGCTTATGGAACAGATCTAACACGCCTTCTAAAGCAAAGACTTTGCCTTCAAGTCAATGAACACACACTGAGAGAACGGATCAATCTGCATGACCTGGCCCAGCTTTGCAGTGCCCCCTTCAAAATGGAGTCTCCCCTGTTGCTGGGATGAGTGAGGGTACCTATGGTTGCTTCCTGGGTAGCACCTGGGACAGTTAAAGGGATTTCTGCAAAAGCCACTCAGCTGCTATAGCAGATGGAGGCCCTGAATGAGCTACTGTGGAAAATGGGGTCAGCAAGGCGAAAATGCTGTGCCCTCGGGTAGAGGGTGAGCGTCCAGAGGGAGTGCAGGATCGACAGCAATCTGGCCAAGAGAGGCGAGCCAGAGGGAAGAGCCGATCTTCTGCTGTAAGAAGGCTGTGCTGGCCCAGGCGCAGCTGATTTCGGCGATATACAGGGAACAGTGACCCTCTCCTTGCTGGAGAAGGCAAAGGCATGCCAGGCTGGCAGAGGCTGCCTCTGGGAAGGTAGGGCGGGAGCCAGCAGGCTCCAGCTTTCTACACTGGCTTTAAAATTCCTGCCCCATAGCACTGTTCTTTCCTGACTTCTAAACTCACCAGCAAGGAGCCCCAAGTCTGAGCCCTGGGAAAGCAAGAGAAGTGGGGTTTGCTCAGCACACACCCTGTAGCTTTGACTGGGAGGCTCCTAAGGAAGAGGGCTTTTCTACATAGTACAGTAGTGGGGGTTGGGAGTGGTGTGTCTCTGCTTTGAACTTCAATACAACAGCAGCAATAAAGGAGAATGAGGAGAGGCCTGGGACTCAGAATCAGTGGAAATGGCCCCGTGTTGGGACTGCCCTGTTTTAGGCACCCAGAAACTTGGAACTACCCTGAGGAGAGGACACAGGGACACAGTATTCCTTGTGGGGGGGTCTGTCCAGGAGTTCTAAGCCCAGCATGTACCGGCCCTTTCCAGGAGAGAGCTCCCCAGTTGCACTTCGTATTAAACCCTGACCTGGCGTCAGTGCTGATGACGAAAACTGGGCTCAATGTCACAGTCGAGGGCCAGTGGGAAAGAGTATGAGGGCACCCTATGGAGAAGGCCAATGCTCCCCATTTTGGTGCCTGGTGTCCCGCAGCTAAAGTTAGCCTGGACAGCAGAGCCTCTTCCGGCACTGATCCTCTGTATCTGGGCCTCCCTACTTCCACTTCGGGGCTAGCTTCCTTATCAGGCCTGCCACCGCTCCCACCAAGGCCAGCTTCCCGCACACTTACTTCGCTTTGTTTATAAAATGATACGCCTCGTTCCAGTGTGCAAGAAGGTCTGTGGTCTCCTCGTCATAGACTCGGATGTTATGATACGCAAACAAGCCAGGGAAAAAATTGTCTATCTCTCTCGTGACATTTAAAATGTAGTCAACCCTGCAAAGCAAATAGCCCAGAGAATCAGAATGAGGAATGAGGAGAAACAAAAGTAACAAGAAGCCGGCAGAGAAAAAAAATCAAATTACATACATATTGAAGGGCATACATTTGTGGGGAGACTTCACTTTCTGCTTAACAATCATTTTTGTGTGAGCTTCCTTCACATGACAAGAACGTATTATTAAAAACAAAACAAAACAAAACAAAAACGAACCTTGTCATATCAAACTCCTTTACTTAAAAACAAAAACAAACAAAAAAAAACCCAAACAACTTATATAAGAAAGAATAGGGTGGGGGAGGCCTCTAGTGTTGCCCAGCAACGTTAATTACAGAAGGTAAACTCTGAGACTCAAGTAAATTCTAAACTCAAAGTTCCAGGATTTATAATACCAGTAGCACCACTGAGATATAACAAAAAGTAATAGCCAGGCACGAGGGTACATGCCCGTAGTCACAGCATTGGAGAGTACGCCTCAGGGTACAAGGATTGTTGAGTTCAAGGCCAGGCTGGGTTACATGATCCATTCATGACCTTTATAGAGTGAGACATTTTCTTCAAAACCAAACAAAACCAAACACCCCCCCCCCACTCTTAAAACAGTTTAAAAAAAGCAAAATGTGTCCCTCTATTACTCATGTCCTATTTGAGACCATCTGCTAGCCCAAACTCCACAGCCCTCCACCCTTAACCAGTACATTCATTTCTGGAAAACCCAAACAACTTTGGTAATTGGAAAACGTCTCAAGTAGGTTTCACCGTAAATAACAGACAGAGCATCAAGAGAGCTCCATGGATTGCATGTTTACTCCCAGTAAAATGGAGGCTGGGGTCTGACCTCACACTGGGCGAAGGCTCTGCTGGGGCTGCATCTTGACCGGAGAGTCTAAGGATGGATTTTAAGCTGTTTAGTCTCAGTTTTCAAGTTCAAGAAGGCCAGCAGGCCAGACCACAGAACTCAGAATCTGTGACTGCTTTCCCTAAGGGCTTGGTTCAAAGGGTCACTCCTGATCATGAACCTTTCTCACAGACAGGCTAGTTCCTGACCAGCAGGGAAGGTTCAGTCACAAGATTCCCACCAGGCACCAAAGTATTACCAGGAGTGGCCCAGTTCTCAGGGCTGCTGACTTGCCAAAAGGCAGGAAGAGATGAGTGTCCACACTGGGGTTTTCAGCAGTTCTGCTGGGGAGTGGTACTGTGGGAGGGAGGCCAGAGCCTCCAGTCCCAGGGCCAGGCTGCCCTCCATTCCTCAGTATGAACAAGCTGCTCCCGGACCCCACAATCACCTCAGACACCAGGAAGACTGGAGGACCCATGGACTCCTCTGAAGCACAGAGGAAGCCCTCCACCCCAGCCACCACAGAGACCAGACCAAGTGGGGGAGGGAGGGCAGGACAAGGCAGAGGCCGCCCAAGCTGCCTGTTGAGAAGGGGGAAGAGGGGAGCAGACTCACCCTGAACCCTGCAGCTCCTCCAGATTGGATGCATTCCACTCGGAGCCCTGGGGGACAGATCACACAACCCCCCCGTGAGTGTCACACGAAGCCTCAGAGCTGCCTTCTGCATGCACGGGAAACCTGCCAGTGGGGCCTCAGCCTCCGGGCAGAAAGAAGGACCAGAAAGAACCAGGAGAGAGGAGTCTAAGCAGGTTCCTGAGGTCCTTGGGCATCATTGAGGATGACGGAGAGGAATCAGAACCTCACTGGGCCCCCACCTCATTGAAGCCTGCTTCACAGGCCTAGTCTTCGTAGTCCGCCATGAGCACAGCCTTACAGGCAGTGATCTTTGACTTCCTCACCATTAGTTAACAGAGGGGACCCTGCTCCCTTTCCTGGCAGGTTATTTTGATATTAATTTTAAACGTTCCAACACCCTGACCCAGTAATTCTGTGTTACAAACAGCTCTTCTAAGGAGATGGCCAGAGCTCACACAGAGACTTAGGAATGCCAAATGTTTACCAAGATAAATGAAAATAGATCCTTGAGACATGTGCTTCAGAGTAACATCATCCCAGTACACAAGAGGCAGAGGCAGGAGGATTGCCATGAACTTGAAATTCAAGGGCAGCCAGGGGTACACAGTAAGACCTTGTCTCAAAACAAAAGAAGCCAGAAATAAAATAAATTATCATGTTTGTATAAGGAGGCTGCACTCGAGGGAGAATGCAATACACAGAGAGGGGAACGAAGTGTACTGCAGCACAGGCAGAGCCTCCTCCCTCTGCACAGGCATTAGAGAAACCCAGCGCTTGGGGCCCGGGTTCCAATCCTCACCTCACAAGAAACAGAAAAGTAGAAAAATTAACACGTCAAAATGCTATGAACAACCACCTCACAGTGTGGGAGATTGGGAATGCGTTATTCTCCCTTAAGACGTCTGTTTCTGTCTATAGCATGTATGAGCGGATACGTTTAAAAACCGTATCATTAAAAACTCCTCTGTTCCTAACCAAGGAGCACGGAAGCAACCACTGATGCTCTTGAAAAGGACACAGGCACTAAACCTCCCCAAACCCCAACAGCTCCAGGAAGAGTTGTGGGTCCTCTGGCCATGACCACCACCTAGCGGAGACAGTGGAGGGAGTGCCTTGCCACGGCCCTGCCAGCACACCCTGCCTGTCTTTCAAATGTTCAAACCCACACTTCTCAATGGGTAAAGCATGACATCTGTACATGCAGAAAGATTCACTTATTATAAGCAAGAACATAAAAATCCAGACATTCAACGCTCTGGAGGCTGAGGCAGAAGATCACAAATTCTGGGCTAGCCTGAACTACAGAGTGAGCTCCTGTCTCAAAGCTTCTGTTCCCACTGAACGCCCCTCACCCCACGTGTAAGTGTGCGCTCACATGCTCGAGCGCGCGCGCACACACACACACACACACACACACACACACACACACAGACACACACACACACACACACTTATGGAGACTGAGGCTGTCCCTTCAGTGGCTCATGCCATCTTCCCTCAGTTCCCGTAAAGAGACACTCTCTCTTCTGCCCACAGTTAGGCACCCACAGAAACTGCACTTGCAGCCACTAGAAGGATCATCCTTGAACATCACAATTACTTCATGAGGTGCAGAGGCAGATGACCCAGTGGGGCCTGCAGGGCATGAGGGGTGCTAGAAGGGGGACTCGGCCTTGCTCGGTCTACTTTCAATTCGACTTCATGATCGCCCAGCTAATTTTAGCAACTTGCTTGCCTTTGAAAACCAGCCAGTTCCTTCTATGGAGATTTTCAACATGAAGGCACTGGGCTGGAGGTGCCGAGGCAGCACGGGAGAGAAGGTGGGGGTGGGGTGCACCCTTCAGCAGGCTCTGGGAGCAGGGCTCAGAGAAGAACAGCTCAGCTCTTGTGTTTCCGATTAGGTGTGCAGGCACAGCTCTGGGCTGTGTGTGTGTGTGTCTATGTGCCCATGTGTGTGAGGATGTGTCTATCTGTGAGCATGTGTGTGAGCACATATGAACATGTGTTTGTCTATGACCGAGTAGTACGTGGGAGTGTGAGCATGTGCCCGTCTGAAAGCATGTGTGTGAACATGGGTCTGCCTGTGAGCATGTCTGTGAGCCAGGTCCCTAGCCCAGGTTCCCCCATGGGCTATACTTCTTACAAGATAGAGATGGTCGAAGATGAGGGAGGGCTTGTCCATCTGGCCCAGGATGAGCAGCATTTCGTTATCGATGAACTCCTTGAACTCCTTCAGGCTGCAGTTCATCTGCTTCTCCAGCTCGTTGCGGATCTGTGGGTGGGACAGGGCACAAGTGACGGACGGGCGGAACCTAGCAGAAGTGATCTGCTCAAGCAGCAGCCGGCCTCCTCACAGGGGTGAGGCCACAGCGTGAACTGTGCTGCCTACAAAAGCCCTGGGTTTGGCTGGGCGTGGGAGCACACGCCTGTGATCCCAGCACTCAGGGAGGCAGAGGCAGGTGGATCTCTGTGAGTTCGAGGTCAGGCTAGTCTACAAAGCGAGTCCAGGACAGCCAAGGCTACACAGAGAGAGAAACCCTGTCACAAACAAAACAAAACAAAACAAAAACGAGGAGTTTGTCCTCGTTCTTTGGCCCAGGGTACCGTGGTTAGAAACAGGGAAACAGGCAGTATTGTGCGGCCTGAGGGCATACACTCACTTTACCTCCAATTTACCCCAACTGGAGGAAGCCCGTTGTTTTCAACAAGGAAATCAGATTTTTCCTAAGATCTCTTCTACTGAGTTTAAAGCGCACTTTTACAGTTAAGTGCCAGCTGCACTACAGTGAGTGCGACGGTGAAGTCGCTTTCTTGTAGGAGAAGGTAACCCGGCATGAATTTGAAAAAAGTACTCATCAGTTAAAGATGAGGATTTAAAGCTGAGGCAGGAGGATTGACTTTGAGGCCAGCCTGGGAGCTCCGAGCTGAGTTCCGGGCCAGCATGAGCTACAGAGGGAGACCCTCACTCAAAAATGCCAAATGAAAACAAACAAATGGGCACCTTAAACTTCCTAGGTTCACTATATTCTTCAAATAAAAAACAAAGGACCATAAAGGTGTTGGCGCCCAAGCCCAACTGAGCTGACGGTGGAAGGAGAGAGCTGACTCCTGTGAGCTGTCTTCTCTCCCACAGGTGTTGCACACCACACCCCCATTAAATAGATAAATAAATATAATACTGAAAAATTATTTTAAAAAGATTTTTTTTTTTTTTTGAGACAGCGTAACACTATGTAGCCCTGGCTGGCCCTGAAATCAGAGAACTTCTGTCTGGGTGTGGGGGACTGAAGGTGTGCCCCACACCTGGCCAGGGGATTTGTTGGAGTATATGTATGTATGCCTGTGCACCATGGGCATGCAGTGCCTGCAGAGGCTAGAAGAGGGCGACAGAGCTCTTGGAGGTGGAGTTACAGAGGGTTGTGAGTCGGCGCTGGGAATGAGGATCTGCAAGAGCAGCTAGCGCTCTTAACCGAGGAGCTCTCTCTCCCGCTCCCACGGCATCTTTAAAAAAAAAAATAATAAAAATACTGTTCTATATTGTATGTTATACAGAATAAGTAACATGTAATGTGCTATAGACATTATATATTATCAAAGTATTATGTAGTTAGTATTATTATTACTAAGCAGCAATGGACAAGAGAACAACTAACCAAGGACAGGCTGAAAAGGCGTGGGGTGCAGCCTGAGATTTACACGTCCTGAACGGCAAAAGGACTAGGGGGTCACACAAGAGCAGAAAAGGGCACAAGGTTCTTTTGGAGGAACTGTTCCAGGGCTCAGGGAGGGCAGGCAATCTGCCCATGGTCTCCAGAATCAGACTAATGCTTGACCGGAAGGCTAGGCGCTCCCCAAGCCTAGTGCCACTGCAGGCAAAGCGCGGGGAGGGCCCCAGGATGGACAAATGGACACGTGCAAACACCGAGAGGCACTGGGCCCGCCTGTGCTGGGGACGTGGCAAGATGAACGTGCGTGAAGGTCTGAGAGGAAAGGTGGGAGAGGAAGGGGGAATGAGGAGGGGAGGGAGGGAACCTTACTTCCTTAGAGGTCACATTTTCTAGGTCCTGGCTCATCATGATGCTCCGGAGTTTGGCTTTGATGAGGCGTTCAGTTCTCTCCCCCTCGGTTGGCCTAGGAAGGAAACGCACAGGAAGTTGCAGGACTACAGAGAAGCCTCACGTTAGACCACCTCAGGGTCTAACGGTGGCTTGCCCGGGTATCAGCCACCGTGGGTGTGCGTTCAGTGTGGGGAGACGAGGAGAAGCTGCCCTCCAGCCCCCCACAGGAGCCCACTGCAGGAAAAAAGGTCAGTGGGCACAGTGTGGCTCCCCACAGGGGCCAAACACACACCGTAACCGACAACAGCCGAGCATCCACACAGCAGCTCTGCTAAAAGACTCCGGGGGCATGGAAACCTGGACAGTCCTTTCCCGAAAATGACGGCCACCGTCTCAAGCAGCCACTGTCATTCCATCTCTTCTCATGACTTCTTGGTGATGTCTGGTCATTTGAGCGACTCTTCTCTTAAGAAAGTCTCCCAGCAGACACCTCACTCTGAGGGAACGGGACCCCGACCCACAGAGAAGCCCGAGGGTGTGGCCTCAGGTCTCTCTGCTCTGGGTGCTGCGAAGGCAGACAGCCCTCTAGACAGAGGTAGCCGAGACCGCTGATCTTGTGCTCACAGTTCTCCTGAGTGAGGCATGTATTTGTCACTAGCAACCTCAGGGGACAAGGTCTGGGTACAGAGCATGGACAGGAGCAGGGGACAATCAGGCTGGCATGCCTGGGAGGGTGGCTGCTCCCCACGAGTGCATTCTCACTCCCACAAATGCACTCATCGAGAATCTACTGCCTCACATGTGAGTTGCGACCCATTCCCAGGGGTCACCTGCGACCGTCAGGAAACATGGACACTTGCATTACAATTTGGAGCAGCAGCAAAATTACAGTTATGAAGTAGCAATGGAAGTAGCTTCACAGTTGCAAGGGGTCACCACGGCATGTGGAACTGTACGGAAGGGCCGCAGCGTAGGGAAGGCTGAGAGCCGCAGCTTTAGAGCTCCAGGCTTGGCTTACACCTGTCCTGGAAAGGGGATCTCAGCCAAGGGCCTGCCGGGGAGCAAGACCTTAAGAGGGCCCAGAGAGCAGCGTGGGGAGGCCAGGCGGGCCCTGCACATACTTGTCCACAAACAGTGCCGGGGAGTCCGGCCTGGTGGACTCCAGGTCCCGCATGGCGTTCCACTCGTTGATGCAGCTCTGCTCGGAGCCGATGCAGCTCTCGTAGTAGGTGGCCCAGATGAGCGCCACCCCTCCGGGGAAGTAGTTGTGTCTGCGGGCCACTTCACAGGCCTTGTGAAGAACCTGCAGGGCAGACCTGGGGAGGAGAGAGCAGCTCAGGGCACATGCACGCGACAGCCAGGTATAGCCAGCAGCTCCTCAAGGCTGTATCAATTAAACTCACAAGTGGATGGGGTGCCCCTCACCATTTCCAAAGGAATGAGCAAATGCCAGGGACGGAACCCACCCCATGGCACCTAACTCTTCCAAGCTGGCGGGTCACATTCCAGCCACCCACTCTGAAGACTTCAGGTCTGCTCCTGAGCAGCCGGGGTGCAGGCAGGGCTGTACTGCTAGTGTATAATGGCAGGAAGGGGTTTTTAAGGAACAGCAGGGTCTCCTGGGTGCACCCGTGGACAAACCCCCACCCTCCCGTATGGAACATCTCAGGGCCGTAGGGCTTTAAAATGGGTGTGTTTTATTTCGTCAGCCTCTTCTACCACTTTTGACAAAAATTCAGGCGGAACATTTCTCAGTGAATGGGCTGCTGAGGGAGGCTGTCACCAGATGAGGGCTTTCAGGATGGTGCACAGGCATTTCAAGCAGCCCCACTGTCTGCAGAGATGTCTGTCCTACCGTCTGGGCTGGCTGAGTTCTTCCTAGCCCAGCCCAACTGTTCTGCACTTGTATATGAACTGTACCCACAGGAGCGCCCAGCCGTTACACACCGCGGCGCGGCATTGTGCCCACACACCTGCGGAGCCCCACCCTGGGAGCGTGCAGCCCCAGGACCCCGGGCTGGCCACACCTGAGAGACAGCTGTCCAGGAGGCTGGTGCAGGAGGCTGTGGCGGTGCACTGCAGAGGGCCGCACAGCCCTCCCTTCCCCGGGATCCAGGCCCCACAGAAGGAACTCTGGAACCTGACCACTGAGAGACACTGCCCAGCTGTCTTGGCACGGCCTACAAGTTTGTTCGTGTGTGCGCAGCAGTCTCCTTTCAAGATGCTTCAAACTCCAAGAGTCGACTCATGTCTGTATCATGACCCTCTCGCCCCTGATGCTCCAGCCGGGCACAGCGCTTGCCTTCTCACTGCACAAACCTAAGACCTACTGTGTGCCAGGCTCAAGGAGTAAGTGAATGTATGCCAGGACAGCATTTACTGGGTTGGCAGGTAAAACTTCATCTTTAACAGTAATAATTTTTTTTTTTAAATGGGTAAAGAACTTAAATGGAACATTTCCTAACAAAGACTCAGATACATAAAATTCGTGTGATAAGACTTCAGTGTCAACAGTCATTAGCGCTAGCATACGGGCGATCCAGCTGGCCTGCCCTCAGGGCCCCAGCTCTAGGTGCCAGGTGTCTGTGGATAAGAGGACCCCTGCCACCCCAGCTCTCTCTCTGTTCCAGCTTCTCTCCATTCCCCCTGTTCTGGCTCTCTCTCCCCATTTCTGTCCTCCTCTGCGCCTTTCCTCTTCTCGTCTCTGCCCGCTATGGCTCTACTCTTGCCTGCCTGCCTGCCACATGGCTCGCTCACTGCCTCTACCCCTTTTCTCCAGGCCCTCCTCTCCCTTCCCCCAACAAACTTCCTGGCATGGGCCTGCCATGGTACCCACCCCAGCTGCAACACCATTCTATCGCCTAACAATGAGGGAAATGTAACTTAATGACACCGAGGGCGGCAGGGCCAGCTCAGTGAGTCAGAGCGGGTGCTGGTCACAGAAAGGACCCAAGTCTCGGCTCACGACGACAGGGGATCCTACACCCTCTTCTGGCCACCACGGACCCCTGTACACCGATCAACCCCCCTAGACATATACACACATACAACTGACCATAAAAAGCACAGATCAAGGCACAACCTCATCATCTCTATGACGGTGATCAACAAAGAGAGAATGTTGTTGCTGATGGACCTGCTGTGAGCAGTACTAAGCTGGTACCTCTGCAGAGAGCTAACAGAGAATTACCACAGGATGGGCGGGGGGGGGGGGGGGGGGGCGGGGGGGCCCCCCTGGACCCCCCCGGGGGGGGGGGGGGGGGGGGGGGGGGGGGGTGGCACGGCGGCACACACCTTTAACCCCAGGACTGGGAAGCACAGGCAGGTAGAGTTCTGTGAATTCGAGGCCAGCCTGGATTACACAGTAAGTTCCAGGCCAGCTGTGGACCCTGTCTCAAACAGAAAGAATTCTCCATGGGACTCAGCAAGTTCATGTGGAGATATAAACCTCGGCGCCTCAAACCAACTAAGCATCCAGAGTAATCAGAGCATCAGCGTCTATAGTGGCAACACACTAATGGCAGGGCAGACACGACACAGAACGGCCTTCAGCTCTGGAAAATGGGGAGTCTGACTCACAGGAGCGAACCTGAATGTTACGTTAGGAGAGAAGAGTGAGGCACGCCTACCTCTGCCTCCTGAGTGCGCCACCACAGCCTGGCTAAAGTGGTTTTTCTGTCCACGCTGTCGGGTAGAAGATCCCTCTAAGGAGTTCAGAGCCCCCAAAGCACACTTACCACATGGCCTGGACAGACACGGGCTTGAATATGTGCGTTCTGCCTGCCGTGCTCACACTGAACCCGCTAAGAACAGAAAATAAGGAAAGATGGTGAGAACGCAAGCTTTCAGTCAAGTCACTTCCAGACCTTGGTACAGTCCCATGCCAGACTAGGGACCAGCATGCCTCCTGCTGTCTGACAAGGGACAGCAGAGATGCCGCTTTAGACACTGGCAAAAGCAGAACTTTGCTGTGTCTGTCAGCTGCATCCCCAGCACCCCAAATGTGAGTTACCCTGTCGGGTCTCACCTGTGCACCTCCAGGTTACAGCTCCGGAAGGGTCCGGAGTATTCAACTTAGCAAACATATTCCATAGCAAGAGACCTGGTGTGGCACCCAGGCGGTGACACTCCCCGAGCTAACTCCCTGAAGAACACCCAGATGGCCTTCCTACCAGCCTGGCCAGACAGCACGGAATCGACCAGTCCACCATGCAAGGTTAGCCAAAGGAGTGTGCCCTGGTGGTGCTTTGGAGAACAGGGAAACAGTGAGCACACAGCATGTTTATCTTATGTGTCTGTGTGATCGCGTACATGTGTGTCTGCGTACCAAGTGAGTGCCTGTTGCACACAGAGGCCAAAGGGGGGTGTAGGACCTCCCCTCCCGGAACTGAAGTTACAAGTGGCTGTGAGCTGCCATGTGGGTGCTAGGAACCAAACCCAGGTCTTCTGCAGGAGCAGCCAGTGCTCTGAGCCCCCAGGAAAGAACCTCATAAAGGCTCATCCATACCCATCCCCATCAAGGTGGATCTTGGTGTCGCTCCACAGTCGAAGAACCATCCCGATGGTGCAGCTTTTGCTACATGGGAAAGAGAAAACGCCAGAGTCAGTGCCTGCCCGTGTACATTTGGTCTTCCCCTGGTTGCTTCGCCTAGCAGGTCCCCGGGCCTGGCACCGACTGCGGGGTCTGTGTTGGGGAGGAGCTCCCAGGCTGTCCGTGCAGGGTCCACTGACTGTTGTGTTCTAGAGGACGCAGGCCTAGGCTGGTCCCACTAGAGGGAGGGACGAGGTATCTAAACTGTTTTGGAGTGGCTGTAATTGCACAACTACAGAGGCTCTGGGGGTGTTGGGGACGAGCAGATGATCACAGGATCCCACTACCATGGGGCGAACTGGCAGTGCCACACCCAATTGTGGTGTGCAGGTGTCCTGGGTAACGGGAGGAGGCAGGGTCCCCACGGCCCCACTGCCCATGCTCAGGCTGCTGTCTGTCCGCCTTTTGTGCTGTTGCCATGTTACAAACTAGTTCAATCTGGTTCTGTTTTGCCCACGCTAACAGTGAAATGATACTCTCTGACTTCGGAGACTGGCGCCACTGATACCGAGGCTTATCAGAGGGTCTCTCAGACTGTGATGAAGCTCTTGAGGCATTTGAGAGTTGGCTCTTGAGAAACTGCGGCAACTGTGCCCAGGAATTCCGAGCTTCTATCTCTGCCATGGCTTACAGGCTCGGAGCAGGGTAGTGGCGGGGGAAGGGAGGAGGGTGGAAGGGGCTGGAACTGTTCATCCCTCCTGTGCCTGGATGACTCCCAACGCCTTATGCTATCCTGTCTTTCAGGTTCCACCAAGGCAGTGGTTCTCAACCTGGAGGGTCACAGCCCCCAAGACCATCAGAAAACAGAGATATTTACATTACACTTCGTAACAGTAGCAAAACTACAGTGTGAAGTAGCGACGAAAATAATCTTACGGTTGGGGGTCACCACAACATGAGGAACTAAAGGGTTGCAGCACCAGGAAGGCTGAGGACCACCGGTTTAAGGCTTCCGGGTCATAAGCCTCCAGGCTGGCAAATCTCCCGCTTAAACTCTTGTGGTTCTACCCATCTGGAAAGGGCTCCCTCTATTTCCTTACAGAGCTGGAAAACAAGATGCATGCGTGTTGAGCCTCACAGAGTTCTGAAGGCTTGTTGGGCTGTGTTACAGCCAGGAAGAAGGTATGCTCTGGATGCCCCGTGATGACACAGATGGCTCAGGTAGGGACCCTGGGATATGTTGGCAGGTCTGGAGCCTTCCGGGGAAGGCAGAGGCTGAAACGGTCTAAACGGGACAGTTACTTCAACTGGCCTCCTTTAGACCCGGCAATGTCCAAGAAGCAGGTGACGGCACACCTGTGGACACATGGCCCTGGAGATCTATGTGACTGCAATGGCGATGGTTTCATGAGTTCAGGAACATCTCCATGGCTGTCACTCCCTGGAGTGACACACACAGCAAGCGGGCAGGGATGGGTTAGGGAAACGGCCTCTTCACAGGTGACAAATGACCCCTGGGGGTGGGGTGGGGACTGGGTGGGAGCAACTGTGGAAGAAGGGAGCAGGTCACAAGTCCCTGTGGGTCAAGAACAAAGAAGCTGGGCCAGCCTGGAGGCCAGAAGGAGACACAGGCTTTCAGACAGAGATCTCTCTGGGAGAGCTTTACAAATGCAAAAAGGAGGATGGGCAGAGGGCGGCACGAGTGCCCCTGAACCGGAAGCAGAAGTTAAGCCCAGATGAGCCCCAAGAGGACCTACGGAGATGCCTGTAGCCACCACAGCTTCAACACGGCCTTTCTCACAGTCCTGTCCTGACCCATCAACCTCCCTGATGAGATGCCCGTGCACAGAGAGCATGCATTCTGGGTCCCCACTGCAAGAAAGTGATCCAGCTACTTCCCAGTCTCTTGACGCCCCTTTTTAATTTAATTATTTACTTATATGTATAGATGTTTTGCCTGTACACCAGAAGAGGGCACTGGATCCCACAGGACTGCAATTATGGGCAATTGAGAGCAGCTGTGTGGGGGCTGGGACCTGAGCAAGCAGCCAATGCTCTTAACCTGTAACTGCCCTGGTGTCCGCCCTGCAGCCAGCCTGTGGCTCTAGCTCAGGGTGTCGACAGGGAGACACCAGCCTGACTGTAGAACACGCAGCAGAGGAGAGAGGGAGCCATGAGAACCAGCTAGGGTGCCGGGTGGGGTGGTGGGAGCAGGGCGGAACACAGCGAAGTGGGTGGGAATGAGTGTGGGAGCCCACAGACTTCAGCCGGAGGCACCAACCTGGGGGCACGGGGGCACGTGAACTTGCACTGACACAACACAGATCACGGCTCTTGTGTTCACCGCTGTACTCCCAGCACGAGAGGGCTAACAAGTACACAGACACACACAGGGTAAATCCCGAAAGACTGAAGGAGCAAGGGGTGCACAGGAGAGCTGCAAACATCAGGAGAGACACAGGATGTTCTATGGGGCTGTTTCCTCCGGTCTTGACAGGCTGTCATTCTTGGACCTTGCCCCGAGCCGAGCCACGGCAACCAGAGTAGAGCCGCAGAGTGGGGGCCGGGTCTCCAGCAAGAACTGCCTGGAAGGGTCAGGAGACCGGCACCCGGCTTCCAGAGGCTCCGCCCTACCCTGGCTGTGCTTCATCTTGGGAGATGCTAGACTCCACACAGAAGCCAAAGGCTGACCGCAAGCAGGACTACAGGATGCAGCCCTTACCCACAGGGTGCACAGGATGACCCGGGCGATGGCCCTGTGCCCTGCTCTGCAGCACAAACAACAGAGATGACCAGGAGGAGACCTCACTCCTACGAAGCTGCTACAGTAAGGATCAAAATGAGGGCACAGGACCCCTGTTCAGGCCCAAAACAGGTTACCAAAATAGTCTCAATGTGGTGAGAAAAATTTCCTGTCCCTAGAAGATTCCTACAGGGCTGGGCCCCCGCCTGAAAAACCATAACTGACACTGTTAAGTCATTAACGGCTTAGCCTGGGCATGGAAGGCCATGCCTGTAATGACAGCACTCGAAAAGCTGAAGCAGGGGGGTCATGAGTTTCACCTCCCCCCGATGGCCCTGCCTGATCATGTGAGCACCCTCCTGGCTGGCGGCACCTCAAGAGCACACCGCAGCAGCCCTTCCGAGGGCACACTGGCTGTTCTTCCAGGCTCTTCCCGAGCATAGAGCCACACACTCGGCTCCTCCCTTCCCTGCGCCACGCCAAAGCTTCTCACCACGCCAGGAGGCCCGGGAAGAGGAGTCACACGATGAACTCATCCCCCGGCCTTGCTTTCATTCACATCTTACAACCGCCTTGCTCACCAGCCTATGACACAGCAGCTTAGTCACAAGGAGACCCAGCTGCGGTCATGTGCCCTCTGGGACTTTCTTCTTTCTGCTGCTGACCCTGCCTGAACCACAGTTCAGGTCCACTTGCCGTCCTGCACACCCCTGACCTCACCATGATGCCTACTGGACCTTAAAACCCACCTTGGCACCACCCACTTGCTTGCGCTCTCACAGAAGCCTGGCGCTGTGTTGGCTTCCTGGTGGTGACACAGTCCTCTGTGCTAAGCTGGATGTGTGCTCTGACATATCTGCTGACCTGGGGCCTGGCCTAATGAGCAGGGTGATGGATGAAGAATAAAGGCCGCTGTGATGATCGAGGGTTGGCAACAACCTCTCGCACACGGGTCATTTCATGCCTTGCTAGGGTCACTTGACCTCCAGTCCTGGGGACTGCGAGCTTTAGAGCTTTCACACGAGGCCCTACCAAAGACAGACAGTGGGGCCAGGTGGTGGGGGCGGCGCAGGCCTTTAATCTCAGGCAACCATAAGGCAGAGGCAGGTGGATCTCTGAGTTTGAGGCCAGCCAGAGAAACCCTGTCTACAATCTACGGGAGAGGCCCTCCTCCGCGGGCTGTCCTCCTGGCCACCTCCAGCTTGTCCTTCAATGCCCACTGTTGCTGTCACCCCTTTTAGGGAACACTCTGTCCAGGATGCCTATACAAGTTTGAGGGATCCCCCCAACCTGTTCACGTCTAGAAGCTGAGGCCCCCAAACCTGCAGCACTAATGAGATGGTACATGTATGAGCTGAGACCGGGTGGAAGATGGTACCAGCTTTCCCCCTCAGAAGGAAGGAAAGCTGTCTAAGCCAGGCTCCGGCTGCAGCTGGCTTCCTGTTCTGCCTCTTCTGCACACGCTCTCACTACCATGATGTCATCTGTGTGGCCAAATAGAGGCCTCGCATTAGACCTGCGGGCTCTGAAACATCGGGCCAAATAAGCATCTTTCCTTTATAAACCAGCCAAGAACTCTGGAATTGACAACTTTTGAAAGCAGCCACAGGCCTCCTCCTCTGCGGCCCTGAGCACTGTGCATTCTCTGGCTGGCGCACAGTGGCAGGGAAGTAAGAGCTGGAAAAGTACGCCCTATTCCCAGAGCCTCAGTGCTCTCCCCGACCCCCACCCCAGGGCACTGGGAAACCCTGTGACCAACAGTGACCCACCTCCTGCTCTGACGGGAACTGCCATCCCTGGGACTCACCTCTCTTTGCTGGAAAAGTCAACTCCCAGCAAGATGTTCTCCTCCGTGTCCTGGCGCCCGCTGGTGTACACCACGACCATGTATCGAACTCGGTCGGTCCAGACGCTCTCTAGGCGCACGGCCTGAGGGAGGGAGTGGGGGGGGGGCCTGGGCTTTAGTTCTTGACCTCCCCAACCCCAAATCAGGGAAGAAATGAAGGCCAAGCGCTTGTGAGTCGCGCCAGAGAGAGCGTGGCCCTGGAACAGAGCGGATGGCCAGCTGTGCGCAGTGGGGGCCCAGGTGCAATGTTCCAGTTACGTCCATGCCCGGCACAGACGCCGTCGGCTACACATCTCTTCTGGCCCCTTCTGTGCCTGGGGAGCTGGGCACAGGACTCCAGTGCCCTGGCTCTGGTCAACCGTGTGAGAGAAGGACTCACGATACACAAGGGTTCCTGCTGCACCCCAACACCGCCCCCAGCTCACCAGCTTGATCCTGTCTTCACAGCGTAGGAGGTTGATCATCACTTGGAGGTGCTGAGGCAGGTCTCCTGTGGGGCCAGCGAGGAGAGGGTTAAACGAACAAACCACGGGAGGCTGACTCCAACGGGAGATACATACGGTGGTACTTCTGGTGGTGTTTTCCACAAAGACTTTGGAAAACACACATGGACCCACAGTAGGACGCTATCTGTCCCATCCCAGCAAATATTCCCTGGCAAGCTGGGGAGGCAGGAGCTACAGCTGTGGCTGGCAAGGGCTGAGCTGTGAGAAAAAGGACTTGGGTGTCTTGGGCATTTTCCACACAAGCCAGAGGTTACCTTTGCACCTGATGGGGGGAGTGGGGGAGGGGAGCTACCTGACCACAGACAATGGCTGTATGCAGGGTGTCCAGAGCAACTACTCGAGGGGAAAGAAAAAAAAAAATCAGTTTTATCATTCTCTTTTCATAAAAGAGAAATTATTCATGTGTTCTCTTTTTCCTTCACTGCTAAGTAAAAAGGATAATAATCTAAAGCAGCAATGCCCCTGCCTCAGCCTTCCAGGACCTGGGACTGTGGGTGCACATCATCATTCCAGCCGGAGAAAGTTGTGCTTATTTTTTAAGAATTAAAAAAAAAAAATGTGTATGTATGTGTGTGTACATGTGTGTGGTGGGGGTGTGTGTCTATGTGCAGTTGCCTGCAGAGCCCAGAAAGAGGCACTGGATCGCCTGGACCTGGAGCTAAGGTAATTGTGAGTGGCCCGACAGAGATGCTCAAGAGTGAACTGGGGTCCCCTGCTAATGCAACACTTAACCACTGATCCTCTTTCCAGACACGATCTACTCCCCTTTTTCGGATAGCGTCTACATAGCTGAGTCTGTCTTCAAACTCACAACCCTCTTAGGGAGGGATCTGAACTTCACTGGGAGGCACCCCTGGGTTGGGGTCTCGGGAGTGTGGCAGGCCAGGGTGGGTGTTCCAAGGGGTGTGGTTGCTGGGACTGGGGTACGGTGTTGCTACAAAGCAGGACGCAGGACTCCAGACCTGCCTTTCCCTATCCTAAGGCTTTCATGCCCTTTGAGTGTGAAGACGCTCACCCAGATGAAGGTGCAGGAAATAACGCAGTGAGGCTACCCTTTACAATGGAGTGCAGGGCTCATGGTATCACCTACAGGGAGCTGACGGTACAGCTCCTCAGTATGTACAGGGTCCTGGGGTCCACGCCCAGAACTGCAAAAACGGGAGACAAGAGTGACGACAGGCACACAGAAAAAACCACCGTCTACGTAAGGCTGCAGACAGAAGCAGATGCTGCAGACCAGCACAGCTCTGTGTCGGCTGAGAAAGCAGGCTGCCCTTTTAAGGCGTGGATGCGTGATGTGGGCCTTCTAGTCAGGAGGTCACAGCTCATGGTTAGTGTCCTTCTGTAATAAATAAGATCGGCAAAAGGCAGACAAAAAACCCGCAGGGCCTCGTATCCCATCCTTCCACAGAGTGTGAACACAGCCTCCCTAGCTGCTGCCACCTGCCAGGACTGCTCTGCAGATAACGGCTTACATTGTCCCTGCTCTGCCCAGCGGGTCTCCAACGCCATGGGGCCACACAGCCACCAAGGGCTGGCTCTTTGTTTGCCTGGGTGCTCCCACCACACAACCCCAAGTCTCAGGGATGAAAGTAACCCCCACGCCCTTGCCTGATAAATGTCCAAACGAGAGAGGCGGTTTGCACATGCATGAGCTGCTCATAGCCTCGCCTGACATCCACATGCAGGTCAGGGACAGGCACTGACTGGATTGGCTGAATTGGACCCAACCCCAGGGAATTAACCCTCTGGTCACCATCCACAGCGGTAAGGAAGGCAATAAAGAAAGGGAATATAGTCCTTTACTTGTCACCCCAGGACAACTACTAGGCTTCTCCGCCTTCCCAAGCTCACTGCTGGTCCTGCTGTCCTTCAAGGACAGAGGATCCAGCCAGCCAATGACTGCCTTCCTGCCTGCGTGCTTTCAAGAGACACACAGACCAGATTTCCCAGTGCAGCCTCACTCGCACTTGCTGCTCAAGGTCACTCACAGTAGGGACACAGTGCACACTTAAAACAAAGCCTGGGGTTTTGAACTGCTGTATATGCTATAGGTACCCAAAGCTATGGAAGTGATGACGGCCTGTAGCTTGATCCCACTATAAATCACAGTGGTGATGCCTACCGTAGCTCACATACACCACCCACTGGAAAGTTTGGCACGTGATGTGTGTCAAGGAGGCCAGAGGCCAACCTTGGCTCACTAAGGTGCGTTGGCCTTATTGTATGAGACAGGATCTCTCAGTGGCTCAGAACGCCATCAAGTGGGCTAGATTAGCTGGCCAGCAAGGTCTCAGGATCCATCGATCTCTACCACTTCTCTCTCCATCGTGGGGTTTCAAATGTGTGCCACCACACCTGGCCTTTTCTAGGTAGGTGCTTTTGATCTGAATTCAGGTCCTACTTTCTTGATTTGTTTTGGATTTCTGAGACAGGGTTTCTCTATGTGTAGCTTTGGCTGTCCTGGAACCAACTGTGCAGACCAGGCTGGCACTGGAACTCACAGAGATCTGCCTGCCTCCCTGAGCGCTGGGATTAAAGGCCGCAGGTCCCACTCCTGAAGCATGCACTTTTATCGGCTGTGCTACCTCCCAGCGCCTTGATAAACATTCTGTTTTTGTTTTGTTGCTTTGCTTTTTGAAGCAAGGTCTTTCTGTGTAGCCTTAGGCTGCCCTTGACCTCACCATTTTCCAGCTCCAGCTTCCTCGAGCTGGAATTACAGGTGCGGGCCACCAAGCCTGGCCACAGGCATAATTACTAACTTCCATATTTCCCGGAGCTATTAGGAAACTGAGGCTCGGAGGCATACTATGCTCAGGAAGTCACAGGGCAAGGTTTCCAGAAGCAGGTCTGGCTGGCTCCAAAGGTTTTTTTGTTTGATTTTTAAACAGAGTAGTCTCACTAAGTAAGTAGGTGTCCTAGGCTGGCCTTGATCTCATGATCATCCTGCCTCTACCCCATGTGGCTGACTACCAGCCAGCTCCAAGTAAAACGTCGTTTCCCCACACCACACTGCCTCCTAAATCTTGGTTTTCAGGGTCGGTGTGTAAAAACAAGGCTGAGTCCTTGCGCTTGCCATAGACTATGAGGAGGAAATTCTACCTCTGCACTTAGGCCTAAAATGAAGCTATATGAATAGGAGCCAAAAAATATGACAGGGGTGAGGAAGGGAAGGGTCCAATTGCCTCCTGGGTCTCATCCCGGCTCCTTGAAAGGTAGAGGAGCTTCCCTAGCATGTGGACATTCAGACCCCACCAGCTCCCCTCAGAAGGACCCCAAGGGCCACTACAAAGGGCCCCTTGTGCACAGGCGCGGTCATTTCCTGAGTCAAGTAGCCTAAGACAGCCAGTACTGGACACGCATTTTTTCTCATCTGTTTCCAGACCTGCCCTATTATTCAATTTGGCCCCAGTTCTCTCACTTCTGTTCTTTCCAAAAGGGTAGCCACTGTAAGATAAAGACACCTGTCACATGATCGCTCAGAGTGCAGCCAATGGCTCTTAGATCATCCCCATCGAGGGGTTTTCAAATGCTCCGGTGTGAAGAACTGGGAAGCTGTCTGCAAAGCGACGGCGTGTAGCTGTGCTGCACGCTGGTCCATCTGTTCAAGTCTCGCCATAAGCTGAGATGTTCGGTTAGCCAACAGAGGACACACAGGGAGTCTTTGCATCCCAGTAACTGTGCTGGTCACTCAAAACCCATGATACGCTGCTTCCCCGGGCATGGAAAAGCCAGCAAAAGACTTCCCACCAAGTGTGGTACAAGAACGGCGCCCCTCACCTGCATGCCTGTGAGGGTGCTGAAGGCTCCGCGGGCCCTGGGGGCTGTTTCCCTGCTGGAGAAAGAGGGCCGCTCCTTTCACCATGAAAAAGCTCTCGCTCAGGCTGAGAAGAAAACCAGAGGGTGGTTAGGGCGAGGCGTGCTGCAGAGGGAATGCCTAGGGCAGATGATGCGCACCGGGGTGAAGCCGCACACAACAGGATTAAATGGTACAGCTGCTGCCACAGCGCTGGAGAGCAAATGATGCTTCGGCTACAACCCTATCCCCAGGCCAACAGAAGTTGGTTTATTCACTTTCTGCTTCTAACCCTCCCCCCTCCCACTCCCACCCACTGCCTCCCAGACACTTTCAGTACAGTCAATTAATTCTTCCCGGTGCAGTCCCTCACAGACTGAGCTATAACCATCCTCAGTCAGGACACCCTGGTCTACCAACCCAAGAGCTACCTACCTCAAGCCCGCCCAGAAGGAACCTCTCAGCAGGATGAGCTTTTGGCCTTTGTTATTTTAACTAACAAAAACATTCCTATTTGAGTTCAAGCCTGTGACTTTAGAAGTCAGAATGAGGGGCGGGCTATGACTCCCCCTGCTTACAGGGCCAGCCTGGGCAAACAGCGAATAAGAAAAGGAAGAGCTAGGGCTGGACAGCTCAGTGGTAAAGCACTGTCTAACATACAAAAGACCCTAGAAACAATCCCTCATGAGACAGACACACAAACACACGGAGACACACCAGGATGCACAAAAGAGAAGAGAAAGATCAAAACAACAACCAAACACAAGAACCAAACAACAACAACAAAAACATTTTTGCAATTCTTCACTTATAATTTGGTTAATAATTTTTTTTTTCTTTCAGGGCTGGAGAGACGGCTTCCTGGTTAAGAGCCCTGGATGCTCTTCCAGAGGACTCAGGTTCAATTTCCAGCACCCATGTGGCAGCTCACAACCATCCATACCTCCAGCTCCAGGGGATCTGACGCCCTCTCTCAGGCCTCTGAGGACACAGCATGCCCGTAGTACCCAATCATTAATGTGGGCACAACACCCACACACATAAAATTAAAAAATTGAACATCTTAAAAAAAAAATCCTTCAGCTTGTACAGACATTGAGACTTATGAAAAAGAGGCCTCAGCTATTTTTTTTTTAAAGATTTAATTATTGTGTATATAGTATTCTGCCTGCATGTGTGCCTGCAGGCCAGGAAAGGGCACCGAATCTCATTACAGATGATTGTAAACCCCATGTGGTTGCTGGGAATTGAACTCAGGACCTTTGGAAGAGCAGCCAGTGCTCTTACCCACTGAGCTGTCTCTCCAGCCGAACCTCAGCTATAAAGTGTTACCAAGCACTCAACACCCACTACAAAGCATTACATCACGAGAGTGTAACCGTGATCGTGCTCAGCCCACCACCTGTGATCTTCTTTTCACTTCTCAGCAGTTTCAGATTTTACAGGCTGGACACACAGTAACTTTTTTTAATGGCTATTTTTGATTTTCAAAGTAACATAAAACTCATACTATAACACACATTTCCTCCTTTATCAGTTCTGAGAAAGGATCAGAGTTTAAATTATCCAGATATAAAAATACGGAAGTGCTTTCCTGAGCAAGCAGCAAACACATGGATGATCTGAAGAAGAAAAAAAAAAAGTCTTAGGAAAGTAGTACTTTTTAAGAACCCTGAAACTAAAAATACTAATTCCTAGAGAAACAGAAGATAGCATTCTACAGTGTGAAAAGGCAACCTCATTTTGATGCCCGATGTTAGCGGCTAAACACCACGATTTAGACACAGCAGCTCACAACTGTAATGCTAGTCCCAGGGAATCCAACACTCTTACACAGACACACATGTGGACAAAGCACCGACGCACATGAAATAAAAATAAATAAATCATAAAAGAATTTGGGGGGGGGGAACCTCATGGTAAAAACTGCTGAACTCTGAATGAACAAAGCTTGGCTTGGCCTCTCAAGCACAGACCTTTGAATGCTGACAGCCTGACAATGAGACATGTGACAGCGAGCCGCCACAGACCCACACAGCACTCTGCGACCCTCTGTGCACCCACTGCACCTTCCCACCCCAAGGCTGTCACACGCCTGCTCTGAGGAAGCTAGGACCATAAACCAGCAGGAATCTCTCCAAAGTCACTCCAAAAAAAAGAGAGGTCCTTAGTACTCACTGCGCAGGTAGGAGCCGGTGGTCTCCTTCTATCTGCCTGTGGAACCCCGTCCCCAAGTCTTTCTACTTATTTTTACTACTAAGCTTTCAGAACTACTCTGATCTCCACCGTACCCATCCAAACTCCAAGAGCCAAGACCCAGGAAACTTAAAACAACTATCTGTTGATCAAAGCAGCTATGGACTAATTTTCAGGGCAGCATCAACTCCTTTTGTTCACAAATTAAAAAAAAAAACAAAAACAAAAAACCCTCAAGACTGACCAGAAACCAGAGCATTCTGGAAACAGCCAGCCATTAACAGTGACCCTTTGCCTTGGAAACCAAGAGCAAAAATTCCCCTTAGTTTCCCTTGCGTTTCCTTTGGAAAAAAAAAAAAAAAAAAGAGAACAATGATAAAGAGCAAGCGGGGTTCACCCTGTGACCTGCTCTGCAGCCAGCCAATCCTCTGTCTGATGAGAAGGGGCCTCCCCTCTACCCGTGGAGCTCATGAGGGTCCTGGAACCACCTCAGTTACTGTCAACAGCCAGCCTGGATAGTCCGGTGAGCCCCTCTGCTCTGAGGGCTGCAAGGTCTCCTGGCCCTGGAAATATACGGGATATAGCAGAGCACCACTGGTGGCCAAGATGACCCTCAGCCTGAGACCGAAATAATGTGTGAAGGACAGGAGACTTCGGAGCGTGGTCAGGCATGGACGCCACTTTCTGGTCTGGCTTCTTGGCTGTGTGTGGCCTGGGCCACAGCTGGCACACAGCCACAGGTGCTCACAAGTGGCTGGAGAGCACTGCCTGAGCCGGACAGGCGGCAGCTGGGTTTCTACACTGAGCTCAGACCAAGATGTGGCCAGTGTCCTCAGCGCTCCCCAGGGAGCCCTCAAGACTTCCATGTCAGTGACGGCGCAAGCCCTTCTGGGTACTCAGGGCAAGAAGGCAGGTCATTCCACCAACCGTCCATCCCAGAAAGTGAAAAGTCATCTTCCTTATAAGAGACTTTAGAGTCCTGAGAGTTACAGAAAGTGTGACCCAGACAGAGGGAGCACCCTCCTCCCCGAGGCCCTGCTCAGAGCGTTTATCTGCATAGCACAAGCGGGTTCTCAGACACAGCCTGCTGCCCCCGGGGAAGACCTTGCAAGATCAAAGTCTCTAGAAGCAGGGAGGACAAACGCAGCCCTCAATCCCCAAGCCCCAGCTCTCACTCACGCAGGACGGGTCAGGGACTGCTCACGTACTAATGTGGGCTGGAAACCTCCGAACGGCAGAGGTACTGGGTCGGCCGAAGGAAGACGCAGAAATCAGAAAGGTATAAAAGGTCCATAGCTGCGCCGCTGACACCCGGAGTAACTCCACTGGGCTGGCTGGTGCCTGGAGAGGTCCAGCCGTCCACACGGCACAGGCCAGCCCAGCAAGAGGCAGTGGGGCTTTCCAGGGCAGCAGTGCAGGCCCTGCTCAGACACTGGTCCCACCCAAAGAGCAAGTGGCTCCTGTGGCTCACATCTTCCTCTGATACTCTGGCTTAAAAAGGCCCTTGTCCCAGCAGTTCCCGATGAAAAGGGTCCATTCAGAGGAAGCAAGGCAGCTGAAGGTCCTCCAGCCACGGCACTCCCACGGGCTGCAGCCGTTGGAACAAGCAATGGGTGTGCACTTAGGAACCAGGAGGAAAAGCAGCTGGCTGCCAAGTACAGCCCAGTGAGAGGACCCCATCCTGGGTCAAAACCACAGATGGGAAGGCGTCCCAGGGCACCAATTTCTTTCAAATCCCCACCAGTCCCACCAGGCAGGGTCGTGGGCGGCTGCCACAGGCAGTTAATAAGTCATTTTCAAAAGCAGCTTTACATCCTAAAAAAAAAAAAAGAAAAGAAAAGAAAAGAAAAGAAAAATGCTTCAGCTACATTTATAGCTACCTGAGGTGCTGGTGACCCTCAGGTGGGCACACTGAAGATGGAGGAGAACACATGTGCTTCTGTAAAGGTCTCTGAGAGGCGCAGTCCCAGCAGGTGAGGCTGCAAAGCCAAAGCAAGTCTCAAAGGGCTGGAGATGCTGAGAGCCTTATGTGCAGGTCCCTGGGTGGGCGTGAATCAGGAAGAGCTGTCAGCCTGGACCAGTTCCTAAGCGATGAAGCACCGAGCAGGAGCCTCTGGGAGGTCTTGTCCGGAAGCTCCCGCAGGTCCAAAAAAGGTTCTCGTGAATCACACACACACTTCTTACTCAGCTCATGTGGAAACCATTGCTCAGCCGGGAACACACGTCGTTACAGCTGGGACTGACTTCCACATGCCCCACATCTCCCGCCTCAATATCCCCTGGTGGCTTCCTTCTCCAGATAAGAATCTGCACCACGGCCCAGCTGCTGCCTCTGCACACACCAGCTCTGGTGGCCCACCCCAGTGTCACCAAGAAGCCAGGACACAGATCGTGTCCTCAGTCCAAGCATCCAAATGCAGAACACACAGCCAAGACAAAGGAATGGCTCAGAGAAACAATTCCAGGCCGGGAGGCTTGGCCACAGAATGCTTACCCAAGGGACATCATCTGCCCACTGCCACCACCGAGGCTGTGGGACAGGATACTGAGCAAGGATGGAGGGACGCTGTGGGAGCATCAGGGACTCGCTGATCAAACGTTCAAAGTAGGCTTCTTGTAGAAGGAGCTAGCCTTCACCTTCATGCCAGACAGCGCCCGAAGCGTTTGGCTTGCCATGGCATCTCACAGAGCAAGCATGCCCAGTCCTCTCCGAAGGTGGGCATTGTGATTAGGTGTAATGAGGAGGTCATGCCATGCCCCACCACACAGCCCACCTGTAATGTGGCCTTCCCTGGAAGCAGGAAAGAGTTCAGCGGGTAACTGTACACACCTATCTTTGACCAAATGCCTCACAGCCCCAAGCCTTCTTGACTGCTAAAGGCTCTCAGACAC